CCTCTGTCAACTGACCATAGGAACTCCCCATGAGGCCGTTGGTGCAGGCTGGGGGAGAGAAGACAGGGTGATAGGAGTGAGGACCATGGGCATTCGAGCCACTTCCTCTTATAACTTACTCGTGCCTTCAAGACCTGCTCAAGCTCGATCATGTATATACCACTTCCATTTGATGATGGAATGCTGCTGGACCCGTAACCCACTTTATGGCTAGATGGGTCAGAAAGCACCCAGTTCATTATAGGCAGTTCACATTGCATGGTTACTTGCTGACATAGTCAAACGTTCAGTTTCCAGCAAAGCCCAGTAACAGGCCAAGAGCTCTCTCTCAAAAGGAGAGTAGTTATCTGCAGAAGATGGCAGGGCCTTGCTTCAAAATCCTGGAGGTCTCCACTTGACTCACCTATGGGGGCCCTGCCAAAGGCTCCAAACAGTATCCTTATCTGCCACAAACACTTCAAGCACCATGGAATCTGGTGAGTCATATGGCCTAAGTGGCAGAGAAGCTGGCACAGCAGCCTGGACTTGTGGCAGAGCCTTCTCCTATTCTGGACCCCACTCAAAACTAGCAGCCTTTTGGGTCATTGATAAATGGGCTGGAGTAAACACATCCAAATGAGAAATGTCTTGCCACCAAAATCCAAGTAGACCTACTAGGCGTTGTGCCTCTTTCTGGTTGTAGGAGGGGCCAAACGCAGCAACTTATCCTTTACCTTAGATAGAAGGAATATCTCAACAGGCTCCACACTGCTGGACCCTGGAAATTTTACTCAGGTAGAAGGTTCCTGAATTTTAGTCAGATTTATTTCCAATCCCATCCTTTGGCATGCAAATTCACCAATAAATCCACTGTGTTTGCTACTTCTTGCTCTTTGGATCCAATCAGCATAATGTCATCAATGTAATGGACCAGTGTGCTATCTTGTGGAAGTGAAAAGCAATTAAAGTCTCTCAGAATAAGATTATAACACAAAGCTGGAAAGAGGTTATACCCCAAGGTAGGACAGCAAAGGTGTATTGCAGGCCTTGCCAGCTCAAGGCACATTGCTTCTGGTGGGCCTTATGGACAGGAATGGAGGAAAAGGCATTTGCCAAGTCAATGGCTCCATATCAGGTACCAGGAGATGTGTTCATTTGCTCAAGCAATGAGACCACATCTGGTACAGCAGCTGCAATTGGAGTCGCCCTTGGTTAAGCTTATGATAATCCATTGTCATTCTCCAAGATCCATCTGTCTTCTGCACAGGCCAGAATGGAGAGTTGAACGGGGATGTGGTGGGAATCATCATTCCTGCATCTTTCAAGTCCTTGATGGTGGCACTAATCTCTATAATCTCTCCAGGGATGAAATATTGTTTTCAATTTACTATTTTTCTTTTCTTTTTCATTTTAGGTTTTGGGGTACATGTGAAGAACATGCAAGATTGTTGCATAGGTACACACATGGCAGTGTGATTTACTGCCTTCCTCCACTTCACCTATATCTGGCATTTCTCTCCATGCTATCTCTCCCCAACTCCCCAGCCCCCGCTGTCCCTCCTCTATTTCCCCCCAATAGACCCCAGTGTGTTATGCTCGCCTCCCTGTGTCCATGTGTTCTCATTGTTCAACACCCACCTATGAGTGAGAACATGCGGCATTTGATTTTCTGTTCTTGTGTCAGTTTGCTGAGAAGGATGGTTTCCAGGTTCATCCATGTCCCTACAAAGGACACGAACTTATCGTTTTTGATGGCTGCATAATATTCCATGGTGTATATGTGCTGCATTTTCCTTGTCCAGTCTATCATCGTTGGGCACTTGGGTTGGTTCCAGGTCTTTGTTATTGTAAACAGTGCTGCAATGAACATTCGTGTGCATGTGTTCTTATAGTAGAACGATTTATAATTCTTTGGATATATACCAAGTAATGGGGTTGCTGGGTCAAATGGAATTTCTATTTCTAGGTCCTTGAGGAATCACCACACTGTCTTCCACAGTGGTTTAACTAACTTACACTCCCACCAGCAGTGTAAAAGTGTTCCCATTTCTCTGCATCCTCTCAGCATCTGTTGTCTCCAGATTTTTTTTTTTTTTTTTTTTGAGACAGAATATCACTCTTGTTACCCAGGCTGGAGTGCAATGGCGCAATCTCGGCTCACCGCAACCTCCGCCTCCTGGGTTCAGGCAATTCTTCTGCCTCAGCCTCCTGAGTAGCTGGGATTACAGGCACGCGCCACCACACCCAGCTAATTTTTTGTATTTTTAGTAGAGACGGGGTTTCACCTTGTTGACCAAGATGGTCTCGATCTCTTGACCTCGTGATCCACCCGCCTCGGCCTCCCAAAGTGCTGGGATTACAGGCTTGAGCCACTGCGCCCGGCCTGTCTCCAGATTTTTTAATGATCGCCATTCTAACTGGTGTGAGATGGTATCTCAGTGTAGTTTTGATTTGCATTTCTCTAATGACCAGTGATGATGAGCATTTTTTCATATGTTTGTTGGCCTCATATATGTCTTCTTTTGTAAAGTGTCTGTTCATATCCTTCACCCACTTTTGAATGGGGTTTGTTTTTTTCTTGTAAATCTGTTTTAGTTATTTGTAAATTCTGGATATCAGCCCTTTTTCAGATGGGTAGATTGCAAAAATTTTTTTCCCATTCTGTTGGTTGCCGGTTCACTCTAGTGATTGTTTCTTTTGCCGTGCAGAAGCTGTGGAGTTTGATTAGGTCCCATTTGTCTATTTTGGCTTTTGTTGCCAATACTTTTGGTGTTTTTCAATTTACTATTTTTCTAGTTCGAGGCAGCTCTAATGGCTTCCATTTGGCCTTTCACACCATCAGAGCCCTCACCCTACAGTCAGGGAGCCAGTGTCGGGTTTCTGCCAGCTGCTAAGTATGTCTGTGCCAATTATGCACTCTGACACTGGGGAAATGACCACAGGATGAGTCCAGAGACCCACTGGATCCACTGTAAGTCAGACTGAGGTAAAACTCCATTAATTACCTGACCTCCAATAAGCCCTTCCTTTAACTGGAGGACCACAATGATATGTTGGGTCCCTGGAACCAATGTCAGCTCACAGCCAGTGTCCAGTAGTTTCCAAAATGTTCGATCATTTCCCTTTCCCCAGCGTTCAGTTACCCTGGTGAAAGGCTAGAGGTCTCTGTAAGGGTGGGACAAAGATTCACTGCGTAAATTGTCAGTAATGTAGTGGGGTCCCTCCTCAAGGGAGCAGCCTCCCCTTCAAGGTAGCTATGCCCACCCTGCCTTTTATAGTTGAGTGCCACTGCTTGGCCCCTGACTTCTTGGGGTCCGATTATTTGTAGGATATAGGATGTAGGCTGGGAGGCTAGGCCAATCTCTCCTTTTCACAGTTTTCTGCCTGCTTTATATTTGCTGGCAGCTGATTCGATTGTGCCTACCAGATTAAGGGGAGGACCTACCTTCCCCAGCCCACTGACTCTCATGTTAATCTCTTTTGGCGGCACCTCACAGACACACTCAGGATTCATACTTTGTATCCTTCAATTCAGTCAAGTTGACACTCAGTACTAACCATCACACATAGTCTTTCAACATGGATATAACTTCTGAAAATTAATATGCATCATTCTCACAATGAGACATCGTCCCCTATTTTCTTCAGACATATAGCTTTCTTGTTCTATTTCATACCACTTTGCTTTTGAAACCAGGAGGGGTTTCAAATCATACAAACAAGCAAGGTCTGAAGAGTAGCTTCTGTTCAGCCCCTTAGGCATTTCTTTGAGAAGCAGACTACTTTGTACATATGTCAGCCAATATGACTAAGACAAGCAGAATATCCCTGCAGTCTGTTCCATTAGCCTGCTGGAGCCCCACCTTTCACAGCCATACAATAATGAGGAGAGGGAGGAGAAGGGACCTATCAAGTGATGATGATTGAAAAGGAAAGTATTTTGCTTTGAACAGAATGCCGTACTTTGGAGGAAAATCAAATCGTTATTATAATTATTATTTTTCCCTGAAACCACTGGATGTTCTGTCCTTGCTGACTTGCCCATAGAATCTTTAGTATTTTTCCTTTCCTGAGATCAATATATTGCTATGCAAGGAACATCTATTGCTTTGTTCAAACCCTCCTGCAGTTCTGTTTATCTATGTTCATCAACCACTTTTTAGATTGCTTTTTTCACTGTCCTTGTGAGACAAATGTGGCACCTTGTAATTATCAAGTTAGAATTCCATATCGGTCTATTTTACTATGCCTTATCAAAAAATACTATGCTGCATTAACTGCACACACTCTAATTTCGGTTACATGTTTTAATTCATTTAACCTTTGCATATTTCTCATCCCTCGTGTTTCAAAAATATGGTTCTCAAAATTTTATACTTAGACAATTTTGGTAAACTTTAAAAAGAAACAAGAATTTAGAGTTGATATATGAAACCACCCTTTTTATTGCAGGTTCTCCAATTTATAAGCCAAAATCTAGAGCAAACCTAATTCAGTGTACATTTATTTTTGCTTAAAAGTCCAGTTTGGCCGGGTGTGGTGGCTCACACCAGTAATCCTAGAACTTTGGGAGGCCGAGGTGGGTGGATCATGAGGTCGAGAGATCGAGACCATCCTGGTCAGCAGGGTGAAACCCCATCTCTACTAAAGGTACAGAAAATTGGCTGGGCATGGTGGCATGTGCCTATAATCCCAGCTCCTCAGGAGACTGAGGCAGAATTGCCTGAACCCTGGAGGAGGAGGTTGTGGTGAGCAGAGATGGCGACATTGCACTCCAGCCTGGGTAACAAGAGTGAAACTCTGTCTCAAAAAAAAAAAAAAAAAAAAAACAAACCCAGTTTGATTATGTTAAAAACTCCTATCTTTTAAAATCATACATGATAATGTGTAGAATATATAGTATGACTTGTTTTGTTTGTTTCTTTTTTCTCTGTGTGTGTACCAAGAAAGATTTGCCCTGTTTCTCCGCATTCTTACTTGGAACCTCTGTATGGATGCAGAGACCATTTACAGGACATCTGTTGTGATGGAGGAGAGTTATTTTCCCTTCCATTTCCTCACTAGACTTTCTCTTACTTCCTTATTACGAAGCGTGTAGATGAAGGGGTTTAAAACTGGAGTCACCACAGTGTTCAGGACATGGACAGCTTTGGTTAGATCCAAGGCGTCTTTGATAGAGGTGCGGACGTGAAGGAAAATTGTGGACCCGTACCAAATGAGCACCACAGTGAGATGCGAGGAGCATGTGGAGAAGGCTTTGCTCCGGCCACTGGCAGAGGGGATCCTGAGGATGGACCTGATGATGTAGACGTAGGAGACAAGGGTGATGAGGCATGAGCTCAGGATGACCACAGAAGCAATCACAAAGGCCACAAGCTCAACTGCCTGTGTGCTGGTGCAGGCCAGGGCAATCCAGGGTGCAATGTCACAGAAGAAGTGGTTGATGGCATGGGGGCCACAGAAGGAAAGGCCACTGATGAGGGCTGTGAGCACTGCAATGGCCATGAAACCACACACCCAGGAACCCAGGGCCAGCTGCGCTGAGAGCAGGCTACTCATGATGGCTCTGTAGTGTAGAGGATAGCAGATGGCGAGATACCGGTCATAAGCCATGGCTGCCAGGAGGAAATACTCTGTGCAGCCTAATGAGAAAACAAGGTACATCTGCAAAAGACAGCTTGTAAATGATATGGTCTGACTTCTCCCCAGTAGGATGGCCAGTGCCTTGGGGACTGCAGCTGTGGTATACCAAATCTCCAGGAAAGAGAGGTTGCTCAGGAAGAAGTACATGGGGGTATGCAACTGATGGGAGGTGCTCACTAACATCAAGATAGCCACATTACCACCAACTGTGAGGATGTACATCACCAGAAAAAGCATGAAGAGAGACAGCTGAAGAGTTTGAGAACCAGGAAAGCCCAGTAGGAGAAAGTCGTGGGTCAGGGTTTTGTTGCTTGTGTCCATTGTGGCACTTAAACCAGAAAACAGAGTCCCTGCATTGAGCCCTTTAACCCAGTTACACAGTCCTAGAAAGATAAAAAGAACCGGATTCGTGAAAGTGCTCCAATAATTAAATGCCTGCGCTGGGCTTGAAGGTGTAGTTAATGTCAGTAATTTTAATGAGACAGTGAGATATGTATTATTATAACCAATTTTCAGTTTAGAAAAATGAGCGTGCAAAGAATGTGAGCAATTCTAGAAAGACTGCAGAAACAGCCACACTTCAGCTCCGAAAATTCAATTCCAGTCTTGCTGCCTTCATCTCACTCTGAGCAGTGCTCCAGCTTAGTCCCCGATTACATCTAAACCCACAAAGGTCTGACTCAATTTACTACTTTTTAACTAGCTCTGCATGGCCCCTGACTGAAACATGTTATTTTGTCTTTGTTTAGAAATTGGCCCATTAAACCTAGATTCTAGTCACATCCATATTTAACTGTTGTAACTTCTAAATTGATCAATTCATAAGATTCATCTTCAAAAATAATGTTTAAAAGTCATCCAAGGCACCTTTAAAATTAGTTTCAAAATGAGTTTTGTCTTCCCTTAATGAAGTCATGTTAAACATTATATGATAGATAATTCTTATCAAAAAATATATTTTCATATCGAACAATGTACTGAAGGTAACAATCTAGGAAGTCCTGATGCCCATTTGCAAATGAGGCCACTGAAAGCCCGTGAGGGGCAAAAAAATCATTTCAAAAACATTTTAAAAAAATTCTCAGTTATTTATAAGTTCTACTTTTGAGAATCGAGTTTATAAATTAAAAGATCAATTGGGAAGTTATTCCTGTCAAACGTACAGGTGACCGAAACCTATATTTAAGAGAGAGTTTTGAAGAAAGACAGTGAAGACTTTGGTGGCTTCACTCTAGGAATTCCCTTATGAATAGGAATGTTCCCTCTCCATTGTCATGTGTCATACCCTGTATTCACCAATGCCAAATGTTGTTTCCCGCATAAATTCAAATTTATTGCATGTATCCAATGTCACTAAGCACATTTAGACTATAAAATGCGTCTACAAAGTAAATGGGTACATACATTGGGTTTACCTCATTTATGGTAGAAGGGGCTTCCAAGCAATGCTTCTTAAGCTCTAATGGGCACATGAATCACCTAAGGGTATTGCCAAAATGCAAATTCTGATTAACGCACCCTTGGGATATTGCCTGTGATTTTTTATTTAACATGTTTCCAGATGTCACTGGCCAGGACCATACACTGAGAAACAAGCATCTTTCTCATTTTATATATAAAAAATTATAAATCCAAAGGTTTGCTTGATTGGGTAATGAAAAGTTCAGAGTATGCCACCACAAAATGTGCTCCTCTGGCATTGGATTATTTTGAGCTGAAGACAATTGTAAAATAACAAAAACAAAAAGAAAAATCAATAGAGAGGCACAAGAAAAACTCTAGGGTCTTATTATCCTGGAGAAGGCAAAAGAGGAATCTGCTCAACAGACCTTGCTTAAATAACCCATATCTTCCATTAATCTCCTCATATATCTGCCTTCCATTAATCTCCTCATATATCTATTTGTACCACTAAGAACCCCCTTCCTTTGTCTTGTCACTTCTCTGCAAATCTATTGTATTTTTGTTAAAATACTGTATAAGCCCAAGTTCTAACCACTTCTTTGAGTTACTTGTCCCTGAGTTCTCTCGTGTGTATATGTGATGCGCTTGTTAATAAAGTTCTGCTCTTTTCTTGCTTATGTCTTTTGTCATTCTAAATTGCAGGACTCCATCCACTGAATCTAAGATGGGAAAAAGAAAAATACTTTCCCCTCTACACTAGTAAAGGAGCCTAGACTACATGTTCATTCCCCTAATACAGGAGAAAATGCCCTCAATACTGATGGGTGAGACAGAAAAGTAAGATGCTCTTTAACAATGAGTACTAAATAATAAATTGGCAAATTTCTTAAAGCTAATATATTGCAACATATATGTTATTAATGGCCAACCAGTATATGTAATAACTGTTTTCAAATTCAAGTGCCAAGGTCAATTGTTAATGTCTTTTGGTATAATCCAGTTTTTTCTTAAAGGTCATCAAGGAGCATTGTAAAAGTAGCAAAAAGTAACTAACATAGTGGATGGTAAATTGCCAGTCACTAGATTATAAGCTAACATGATCTTTGTAAATCCTATCAGCTTGCTTTTATCCTACTTGTTTTACAAAGAGAAAACAGAAACACAAAGAAACTGAAGAATTTATTCAAAGTGGAGCCATAACTATCAATCCCAGATGTGTCATTCTAGAGCCAAAGCACTTTGAACTTGAGGCTTTCAGATATTTTTTATAGGTTCCTCTGGTATCTGATTAGCAGATTTTAAAAATATTTTAATTTATGTTCAGGTAGAAATCACTGGGCAAAGCTATTTTGAAAATCTAGTACAAAATAATGCTATCTTAACTCTTAACTTTATGGTTAATGTGAATAAGGCAATTATACTCCTAATTTTCTATATTCAAAATTCAAAAATCATTTTGGATAACTAAAAATTAGAAAATAAATATCCAGAACCAAATTATATAATGACATTTTCAAATTTTACTTTCAATTATGCTGCTGAATTTGTCAGATACCATGACTTAATATTTACTTGGATCACATGATTATGCCCCACATTTAAAAACCTGTATATATTGCTCTAGACTTGAGTGTTTTTAGTTTTACTTCTGTGATAGCCTAAGTGAAATTTGTCGATGTGACTTAACAAGAGCTTAAAAGAAAAATCAGAGAAAAACTTTGATTTATTAGGTTCAAATAAATGACCTTTTAATTTTTCAAATTAATTAACAGAGTAATCTTTCTTATATAAGTAAATTGAGCTTTTAATAATTTTATGAGTATAAGTAATTTTAATTTCTTAATCTGAAAAGTGATTCTAAATGCATAACAATTATTTTTATAGAAATTGCAATATTTTATTTAAAAAAAGCCTATATTAAAATTGTTTCTTAATTTCATGAGGTTTCCAGTATTGATTGAATGCTATAACAGATTAATCATATACCACAAATTTGTGATTACAAATTTACCCATCGGGAGGGCATGGTGGCTCACACCTCTAATCCTAGCACTTTGGGAGGCCAGGGCAGTAGGATCACTTGAGGTCAGGGATTTAAGACCAGCCTGGCAGATATGGTGAAACCTCATGTCTACTACAAAAACAAAAATTAGCCAGGTGTGGTGGTGCACGCCTGTAGTCCCAGCTACTTGGGAGCCTGAGACAGGATAATCATTTGAACCCAGGAGGCAGAGGTTGCAGTGAGCCAGGATCACGCCACTGTACTCCACCTGGGCGACCGAGTGAGACCCTGTCTAAAAAAAAAAAAAAAATTACCCATTGATGAAACACTGGACAGACCATGTCGAAAGCATAATCACCCTTTCTACTTACCCAGTTGCAAGTCTTTGTGCCATAAGCACCAAAAGCTTTGTCTCTTGACCTTACTTTTACTCATTTTTTTATTCCATGATTTTCTGTATTTAAAAATAATATATTTTGATTGCAATTATTCCCTCTATCTCTGTTTTTCTTTGATTATCTTGCAACTTAATAGTGTGCTTCCTTCTGTTGACATCTGTTACTTTTATTAACTCACACTTTCGTAGTCTTTGAAGCTTGAGCTCAGTCTTTCTCTGTTTCCCTTTTTTCTTATACTCTGATCCCATTCTGTCCTAGCTTTATTCCACTTCCCTTTTGGTGTTTTATGTTTTTTCTACCTCTTTTCATCATAATTGGCTCCACACTGGAAACTACTTGCTTTTAAATAATTGCTTATGTATGGATGAATCTTCTGGGAGATGAAGTCTCTCTCAGGTACCTAGGGCTAGTTCAAAACGGTTGTACTAAATCTTTCCAAGTGGATGACCTCTGAATCTTTTCAGTTATTTGATTTAAAGCACTAAATTGTAAAGTTACTAGAATAGGAAAAGGATATTTCTTTAGGCTTTACATATGCTAATCTGAGTATTTTGTCTTGTGGAGAGCTTTTAGCAAATACACCTATTTAATAAGTTCAACAAATTTGTGAAAAACTCTTTAAAATAAATCAAACAGCATAAAATTGGAGAAATTACCTTAACTAAAAATAGAATAAAATTGGAGAAATGACCTTAACTAAAAATATAATTAAGTAATATGAAGCATGATATAACTAGAAGTTTAAAATTATCTCTGAATAAAAAAAAATCTGCCTGACTGTTCATCAGACTAAAATAGCAAGGGAACAAAAAGCCAGTTATAAATATATCAGAAAATGATTATACCCAAGGACATGTTGCAGTTGTAAATTGTCATGACTCCCTTCTTTGAGTGAGAACTGTTTTCTCACTGAGTGAGAAACTTTCTTATTTAAAATCTTCAGTATCAGAAAATTTGTTGTTTTTAATTATATGGCTAAGAATAAAATATGGCACCCTTTCTGGGAGTACCTAATTCACGATGACAGCGACATACAACCTCACATTCTATTCCAGGAGCAGAGCTTCAGATAAAAACTTTCTGAACACAAAATTTCTCATGTATCTTAATTTTATAGTTTTTAAGGAAAAAGAACATTTGAGTCCAGATCAGATGTTGACCCTTCGTAAGCAGCTTTCTTTGTTTTCAGCCTGAAAAATCACTCCTTCTTTTAAATTTCACCTTAACTTTACCCTTTCCCAAATTTAAAATAATTGTCTTTTACATTATTTAATGAGACACCCTGTGATCCTTGTGGTTTGCATCCTCCTTCATGTCCATGAGTCAATAAATCTGACTGCTGGACTATAAAAATGCTTCTAGAAGACTTAGGCTGATTGAGATCATTTCTATAGAAATATTTCCTGAATTCTAGAAAATTTACTTGCAAACTTGTAATTGTTCTATACCGCTATATTTTAATTTATGGTATATTACTATCTATGTACTTGTAGGGGAGGGATAATAGCTTTCCTTCACCTTCTAGGTTGTTTGACAGGGCTACAAATTAAATTCCCACAAGACAGATTAACA